ATATATTTTAATAGTGTATATCTCACAATATATATATATATATATATATATATATATATATATATATATGTATATTAATTATTGTTGTTAATATTATTGCACACACAGCCTATGCATGCGTGCAAATGTCAATGTGTCAATGCCCAGTAACAGTTAGTGCATTGATATTTATGTCATGGTACTGTAGCATAACTGTTAATTTTGCGCTATAGGGGCTTCGGTCATGGCAAAGGAAGAATCATATGCATACTTACATGATCACAACAACCGTCCACTGGATCAAGGCTCGGGGAGCACGTACTTCAGCGGCGGGCTTTCACATCAGTCTCCGGCTGTTTTCCGCAATGAAGGTCGGACACGGTACAATCCCTCAGCAGAATGAAAAATCGAACGGTTCATTCATTAAACACGCGCTGGCAAAGTGAAAGAGTGTCAGGTGCGCAACGATCCGACTGTAAACACACACATCCAGGCAGAAACGATCCAGTGGATCCTGCGGTAGAGGAGACAAGTTCATACTCCACCGAAAACAGGGATCCGGCGCTTCCCGGGACGCATGGCGGGATCTGAGCTCTGAAATCAGACGTCACTTGAGCATAAAGTCAAAGCTCATGGGTCAATGAGATAAGAATATAGAGGAAAGCAAAAGAGAGCAGCGCGAGTGGGTGCCTCCTGACTCAGCAAACGATCGGAGGGACGTGGACACTTGCTGTCCACACCGCACACAGGCTGGTCGTTTTTGTGCTGTGCCTCTGCTGTCTTGTCTGTTCAAACCAATGGCACTTTAAGTCATTAATACGTGATTCGAGAGAGTCTTTGACTGTTATTCCCAACAAATAAAAATGTAGTCTCACTGCAAGCTCAATCAACAGCAAAACCAACTACACAGTCAGATTTTCTCAAGAATATGGCGCTCGCTGATGCAAAACATCGGCTTTGGGCTCCTGGGAGCCTCCTTGGGTACCCTAGCCAAAGTCTAAAGAGCCCACCGCCATGCCAGAGCTGAGATGAGGCAGGGGCTCCTGGGGGCACCCAGAGGCCCTTGGGTGTGAGATAACAATATTTATGTTTTGCCTTCACAAGCACTAGACATGCTGCATGCTGACACCACTGCATGACATGTGTGGGACTCGCAACTAGTACCTCTATATTATGGGCTTTCAAAGGCACTGATCCTCTAATAAAAGGTGGTAATAATAGGCATTAATTGCATGATATAAACAACTAAACATCGATTAGACTCTTTATTTGTGCATTATTTAAGCTGCAGGTTGCTGTTTTCTTTCAGACTGTCTGCCAAGCTAATACAGTATAATTTAATATAATATTACTGTATATACAGATTTATTAATGTTTTTGAAAAAAGTCTCACCGAGGTTGCATTTATTTAATCAAACATGCAGTAAAAAAACAGTAACATTGTGAAATATTATTATAATTTAAAATAACTGTTTTCTATTTTAATATATTTAAATGTTTTTATTTATTCCTGTGATGGTAAAGCTGAATTTTCAGCAGCCATGACTTCATTACTAGTCTTCCGTGTCACATGATCCTTCAGAAATCATTCTAATATGCTGATTTGGTGGGAATATTTTTTATTATCAATGTTGAAAACGTTTTTTGAAAATGTAATAATTTTGTGAATTTCAGGATTTCAGGACTCTTTGATGAATAGAAAGATCAAAAGTACAGTATTTATTCGAAATATTTTTTTTATTATTATTATTATTACAAATGTCTTTACAGCCACATTTGATCAATTTAATAGGTACATCCTTGCTGAATAAAACTATTTTTCTTTAAAAAAAAACTTACTGACCAAAACAATAGTGTGTGTGTGTGTGTGTGTGTGTGTGTGTGTATATACACTGAACAAAATTATAAACGCAACACTTTTGTTTTTGCCCCCATTTTTCATTAGCTGAACTCAAAGATCGAAGACTTTTTCTATGTACACAAAAGGCCTATTTCTCTCAAATATTATTCACAAATCTGTCTAAATCTGCGTTAGTGAGCACTTCTCCTTTGCCGAGATAATCCATCCACCTCACAGGTGTGGCATATCAAGATGCTGATTAGACAGCATGATTATTGCACAGGTGTGCCTTAGGCTGGCCACAATAAAAGGCCACTCTAAAATGTGCAGTTTTACTGTATTGGGGGGTCTGGGGGGGGGTCCGAAAACCAGTCAGTATCTGGTGTGACCACAATTTGCCTCACGCAGTGCAACACATCTCCTTCGCATAGAGTTGGAAAAAAATACATTTGGTTTGTTTGCAGCAATGATTTTCTTTTTAATCCTTTAAAACATCTTTCGTTTGCTGAGGCCCCCTATAGTGAGCCATTGGTGTAGTACAAAGGTGTAATAAATTTAGAGTCGATCTGCTTGAGGCAATGTATTGATGCTGAAAATGCTGTTTAAAAATAGCATTTGACCCAATAACCTAATCTGCAAGAAATAAAAGCTGTTTTGTTGTTTGTCCTCTTCCTCTCAGGTATTATTATAAATGGATTTGCACTCAAACCAATTCTATCCTAACATGCGTAAACAAACTATTACTTCAGTAACTCTGACACTTCTATTTTTATCCAAGTGTTGTGTATATTTTAATTTGCCTTCTTTGCCACAATATGACATCAAAAAGCCTCAGCACCCTTTAGATCCTCCTCTGAGATCACCAAAATAGCATCATCTCTCCTGAGCCGTAGCGAATCAAAGCTCGCATTCCACCTTATTTCCGTCAGTCATGCTGTCCTGATCTACTGAAAGGATTATTTTAATTCTACCATAACAAGCTTTTTATCCATATAACAGGTCTAATATAATCCCGAACGGCCGCACCCATCGTCTAACGCAAAGACAAGCTTGGGATATGAGTATAGAAGTGTTGTTATTTTGTATTACTAGCCCAGTGGGATATACTTCAAATATAGTAGGCCTATTCCCAGCTTCCAGAATTTACTCATTATGCTGCCCTGCATATTTGTTCAATGGAATCCAATACTTGTTTTTTACTAATTTTGGGGTGTTGATTCCAAAAACAGTGGCTGTTTTACTCTGTCCCATCATTTGTTAGCAATTTTACTTTTGACAACTATTTGTAAGGAGAAGTCTTGTTGTCCCCTATTATACTCACCAGAAAAACTGCAATAAAGACATGGTTCCTGTCTTCTTCTGAGCCATTACAACTATGTGTTCCATTTCCCAGGTGATTTTTATACGAATGAATTATTCTGATAATTTTATATTTAAAGGTTAGAATTATATGGAAGCTTGTTTCTGCCACGGGATTAAAAAATAAAACCAAAGTAATTGTGATTTTTTTTATTCTTTAGTTGAGTTTTTTCTTGCAATTCTGAGTTCATCTCATAATTGTTTTCTGAAAAATTCTGTCTTTTCTTCAGAATTGTGAGATATAAATTAACAATTGCAAATTGTGAGATAAAAAGTCTAAATTTCCTTTTTTTTTTCTTTTTTTTTAGAAAAGTTAGAATACTGTACGAACAGCAACAGAAAATTACAGATTTTATGGGGAGAAAACCTTATGGGAAATTCATTAAATGGAGCAATTGAACATATTTCCCCACTCTTTGTCAGATTGTAAGTTAAATTATGCATTTTGATAACACCTTTTTGTCATTAAAACCAAAATATTGACATTTGACTGCTTTTGTTATTTTAAGCAACTGTACGTTTTTTGTTTTGTTTTACCTGATATTAGTCTTAAAATCATTCTGATGGCATATACTTATGTTTCTTGATCACTTTCCCACAAACGTCTGTTCTAGATGAGTGGGTATGAAATTCTGCAAAAAAAAAACAAAAAAACACACACACAAAACTACATTTGCTTTAAAGTGCATTCTAGCTGATTATTATTTGAACAATCATCTTTTCTGGAACAAAAACCACTGCACATGATGGAAATTTTGACATATTTTTGTGCTCAGCATCATCACATTTTTTTGCAAATCAGAAGAATTCTTTTTCAAGATTTAGAACTGTGTTATCGGAGGATTTCTCCTGCCAGTCCTTTTTGGTCTACAGGCTAAAATGAACTATTTCTGTCTATCAACAGGCTGAAATAAATAATAAAACAGGCACTTTTTACTAGCACTGCTGAAAGGTGCATATGCTATTTTAGGGCTGCTTGCTGGGCGTACCATTCAGAACATTTGTTTTAAAAGGGCAGGATGGGTTACTGTAGGTCATCTGACATGCAGAATCTTATTTCTACTCCAATGCACAATCACGTGCCCCTCGTGTACATTCTTGGCCCAGAGATCACAACCACTCTACAGGGAAGTCTAACTTCTAAACACTAGCTATACACATTATTCCTCATTGTGAATGAGAATAACAGTCCATTTAGAGCCATTAAATGACAACAGGCCCTGGTTAAGCAGGATATTACATTACAGTAACTGTACCGTTGAGCTTTGGGACTTTTTTCTAGTTGAGTCCGCAGTGTATAAGGGAAGGCATAAATGGATATCTAGTTTGCACATTAAGTCAAGATGCTTATCAAAGTATGTTCTTGTCCTTTCTTTGTTCCAAGTGTAAGAGATAAACCAGGGTTAAACAAGCATGCACCGTTTGAGAGATTCTGATCTTGTGCAGCTAAATAATCAATAATAATCAATAATTCTGGATCGTTTAATAAATTTCACATACTCAGCACACTGCAGTCAGATATTATCACAACAACTGATTAGGACCTTATTTTATGACAAATTAATAAATACCAATCAAAAAATGTTTTTTAAAGAAATTAATATTTTTATTCAGCAGGAACACATTAAATTGATCAAATGTGGCAGTAAAGACAATTATAATGTAAATCTTTTTAAAATACATGCGTCTTTTGAACTTTCCATTCATCAAATAATCTTGCTCTCATATAATTACACAATTTTGATGGATTTCTCAGCACACAGGAGCCAAACAAATCAAATGATTTATAATCTGAAAAAGAAATATGATGTATGCCACAACTGTCTAATTTCTGGCACTTTGCCATTTACTCTTTCTGCTACGCTTGAAGTTGATGGTCACTGTCTCTCTTCAGAATATTTCATCTATGAAATAATAATCGAATGCCAAGTTAAATGTTTGTGCAAGGATCAACTTGGTATTTCATGGAAATGTATGCAAAAGTAAACATTATTGGAGACATATCAATGTCAATATGAGCTCACTGCTCACTGAAAAATGCAGCATAAGTCGCTTTGAATGAAAGCATCTGCCAAGTGCATGAATGTAAAATGTGACTACTTAAAATAATAATATTATATATTACATATATTTAATTGTTTTAAATAAGTGAACATTTAAATATAAATTATATATATGTATATAAAATTTATCCTTTTTTTAAGAATGCACATTTTAAAGATTTTTTCAGATATTAGGATTTTATTTTTGCAAAACCTAACAAATCGAGCTGAAAGACAGGCATCACTGTGAATCATGGAGATGTAGAGAGATCACTGGCACTGTCACAAAAAAAGGCTATGATATTATTTTGATTCATGATGTCAAATCGTAGTTTTATTCATGCCGACTGACTCTGAAATCATCAATCTTAATATATGCAGTTCCCTTAGGATCCCTGAAGCTCTCGTCTCACTGTTGCTGCAAGACTAAACGTCTTCATCTGCATTCACGTCTGCTTCTCCATCCTCCGACTCCTGTGCTTTTCTCAGTTCTGCCCTGCCCTTCTCAGTCTGATAATAGTCTGATTCAATCCACCCGGGGCAGTTGGACAACGTCACAAAGATGTCTTCGTCTACTTCTGTCACTTTGTGCACTCTCTGCTTTGTGCCTTTGGAATACCACCGTGGAGTAGGGACTTTTTCTGCGGGGTTGGTGGCCTTGTATAACCCCTCACCTTCAGCCAGAGTGATCTTATACTTGTGCTTCGGGCACACAATACAGAGCTTGTTGTTGATTTCCTGTGCATGAAACATTAAACGGGTCAGAGTTCACATGAGAGGTAACAATGAGTGTCAAGTGCATTTATGGATCACTGAATGAGTTCTGCTTCAGCAGAAATGGCTTTACCTCAATATCTCCGGGCTCTAAACTACTGCCGGCATCTGTAAAAAAATAAATAAATAAAAAATAAAAAAGTGTCATTAGCAAACATATGCACTAAGCTGACCCAAGCAAATGCCTTTTTGATTTTGGGCTTTTGCCTCTGGAATTGGACTTGGCAACAGCAATGCTACAGTGCTAAATCTGCTACTTTGTCTCCCTCTAGTGCAGAGAAATAAGCAAAGATGCTTTTCATGCTACTCACGGTAACACTGCAGGTCCATTGCATAGAAAGTTCTTTGATGATATATAATAAGAATTTCTCTTCCATCCAGAGTAACATTCATTCTCTTGGCCTGAACAAGATCTTCTTTCTTGCCGATAAAATACATACGAGGAGGCTTGTTTTCATCCATGGATGTAGTACGGTTTTAATGATGTCTTCTGTGAAAATATAAATATAATGTTTTATGAATATCGTCCACCTAAATGAAGGTGCTTAAGTTACATAAATAATAATAATTCATTACATTTTATATAGCGCTTTTCTAGGCACTCAAAGTGCTTTATATTGTCAGGGGGTATCTCCTCATCCACCACCAGTGTGCAGCATCCACCTGGATGATGCGACGGCAGCCATAGTGCGCCAGAACGCCCACCACACACCAGTTCATTGGTGGAGAGGAGACAGAGTGAAGAAGCCAATCAGTAGATATGGGGATTGTTAGGAGGCCATGATGATCAGAGGCCAATGGGGTGCCGAGGTCACACCTCTACTCTTTTCAAAAGACATCCTGGGATTTTTAATGACCACAGAGACTCAGGACCTCAGTTTAACATCTCATCCGAAGGACGGTGCTTGTTGACTGTATAGTGTCCCCATCACTATACTGGGGCGATAGGACCCAACACAGACCACAGAGTGAGCACCCCCAGCAGGTCTCACTAACACCTCTTCCAGCAGCAACCTAGTTTTCCCAGGAGGTCTCCCATCCAGGTACTGACCAGGCTCAGCCCTGCTTAGCTTCAGTGGGTAACCAGTCTTGGGCTACAGGATGATACGGCTGCCGGCACAAAAATTGTTCTTGTCCTTCAGCTTAAAACTTAGCAGGTGTTTGTTTGAAAGTAAGACATGTTAGTAGGAATTCAAGTTTAAAAATCCCCAAAATTCTGTTATCATTTAGTCACCCTCCAGTTGTTCCATGAATTTCTTTCTTCTGTTGAACACAAAAGAAGCTGTTTTGAAGAATGTGGGTAACCAAACAGTTTCTGGTCCCCATTGACTTCATTGATAGTATTTATTATTTTTCCATACATGGAAGTCAATGGGGACCAGCAACTGTTCGGTTACCCACATTCTTCAAAATATCTATCTTCTTATATGCTAATATAAGAAATATAATCTTCTTTTATGTTCAACCTATATATCAAAGTATTTTGTTTTAATTATGCAAAATATAATATGCTTTCTGATATATACTGTAAAAACGTTGTATACATACATACTGTATAACCTTTATATAAACCTCAAACAGAAGTCATATCATTCATACACTGTAAAAAATGACAGTGAATTTAACGGTAAAAGACTGTAAAAATGCTATAGTAAAATCCTGTTAAATGTTTAACGGTAAATTCCCCTACTATATACAGTGAAAAACTGTATTGGACATTCATTTTACGGTAGTATACCGTTTTTGGAAGTGAAAAAGACCGTATAATTTACAGCGAATAACCGTAAATTGACATTCCCAGAATTCCCTGCGTTACATTTCATATTTGATGTTTTTTTTGTTGAAATAACTATGTTTCTTCTTAGTTTTTTCTTATCAGTTTTGTGCATTAGGGTTGTGTGTTACACCTAATGTTGTTAAATGAATGTTTATTGCATTATTTCAGTTTCATGTGTGTTACCATGATGGTGTTTAGTGTCTGTGTGAATAAAGACACTGTGCACCTTCTATATATGTTATTATTTAAAAGCTGCTTGTGATGGGCTTTGGTTCATCATGTGACTTTCTCATCACCACCTGCATTTGGTGGTTATCAGTGTATTACAAAGGTACAAAACAGATTTCAGTACTTCAATAGGTTGGTATATTAACATTATATCAGTTAATGAAATTACGGTATTTAACTGTAAATTTCAGTTTAAACACCGTAAAATCTAAAACGTTGCTACCGTATTTTTTACAGTAAGATTCCGGCAACCACAGCTGCCGTTTTTTTACCGTACATTTTACGGAATTGTTTTTACAGTGTCCAGTTACCCATTGTCTGTATAAGAGTTTATAGGGAATAAACCAATGAGTTACAAATAGTATAAAATATACAAAATTAAAATGTAATAATAGCCTATATAATTGTATATAAAACAGTATTTTCTATTTTAAAGGAATTACAAATATAATACTAAAAAGTCAATTATGATAAGATCAATCAGCTAGGCCTTCTGTCACGTATCAAATAAGTTTACTAAAGACAAAATGCTCCAGTATTTAACACATGTTTTACACATTTTAAACTTTTAAAATTTGCCTTTTAACTTTACATATCAACATGAATGGACATCGCTGAGCAAATATTTTAAGCAGTGTTACCTTGTCCTGTTCCGGGTCGTTGTGAATCTTGTGAAGCGTGCGTCAAGAATGGTTGAAGTTTGTTCTAGTCTGCAGAGGGTCGCGTTATCTCAAGCCCACCGGCTGCAGCCTTCAGCCCTATCAGCCCCCCAGACCAGGACCCTCTCCGTGCGTTCAACATTATCTTTGTTTAACGTATAAAACTGAACGACCCACCACTAACTGACACATTAATGCATGCGATTTCTCTGATATCAGAAGAAGGAGGTTTTATAAAGTGCCATATGATTGTAATTTGCCCATCTGTCCTTCACAATTGCGCGTGATATCAAAGACGTTTGGTAATCTCATATTATTCCAAAACAATTATTTTTAAATGCATTTTTTACATTCAAAGTCCAACTCGTCAAATAACACTTTATATCTGTTATAATAAACGATAAAGTGTCTAGACTCCTATTATTTAAATTACCACTGAAGGAACCAATCAGAGAGCGACTCTCCCTGCGTCCTCTTCAGCGTCATCTTTGCGCAGCAGTTACGCAGCAGCGCCGTCAAAACAGAAAGTAGCCTGCATACTAAACTAAACTCTTTTCCATGCGCCATTCGTTTATTAATGTGCCAGGTTGTGTCGCATCTATTCTAAACAAAAAGGAACATTGAATCATTACCGGCTAGACGTAAGTGAAATGATTTCATCCTAACCTGTAGCTTAAGAGCAGCTAATGAGTGTTAGCCTGCTATCTTGTCTAGAAATCGGAAATACAGGCATGTTACACATAAGCGAGTACAGTTTCATTAATTAGTATTTCCAACCCACAATTTGTATTTAAACAACTTAAAACGCATTCAAAAGACTTGTAGTTGACATTTCCTGTTGGAAACCCCTCTTAAACCAGTTGGTTTGCAAGTTGTGTCCCAAACTGTCTAACGTTACTGTTGTTTCCTGAAGAAACACTTTCGTTTTTGTTTTTTATCAATTATCATGCGATGTGCTAAAATGACAGTGAAGTAGACAAGTATAAAATGGTAGTTTGAGGTATTTTGCAAATGGCATATGAAATGTTATGTCTTCCTAGAAAGCATAGTTTAACCTCTACAGTTGCATGTGCTTTGCCAGACGCTTTATATTGTTAAAAACTAAATCATAATATTAAACAAAACATTCTCCAAATAATAGTACGTATAAAATGTGTACAAAATTATTTAAACTATAGGCCTTCTTAAGCATTGCAGCAACGCATCTTTAAACACTAAAACTGTTGTTAAAATCTAAAAAATGTAATAATTAAAATTGTACATAAACATACAATTGTATACAAAATAGCTTTTTTCTATTTTAAAAACGGAATAAAATATATTTAATTATATACTTATAAGATGTTTTAATTATCATATATCTAGCAAATAAATCAAACATCTCAAATTATGTACCAGTTTAATTTAGACTTAAGCATTTGTTTGTACTTGGCACATTTATCATTCTATTTTTTTTGTTTTTGTTTTTTTAGAAAAGTAGAGTAAAACCTGTTATATGATAAAAAAAAATATATAATAGGCAGTTACACTTGCATGCATTTTTTACCAGGCTATGTATTTCCAGGTAATGGTATTGCGGGCATGTGGATTTGTCATTTTTCGGCGTTTGGTCCAGAAGCCTCCCCCTGATAATATAGAGTTCCTGCTGATGCAGACGTCCTACGGGGAACATCACTGGACACCACCCAAAGGTGCATCTCACAGCGTCTTATGATGCTTTTCCTGTCTTCAACTCATTTAAATCTCAATTTATTTTTGAACCACATTAGTCCTGCCAATTTAAAAGAATATAATGGCTTATTTTCAACATAATGCTTATTTCTACTCACAGAAAATTGAGTCGTAAAGCATTTATAAACTAAATTTAATAATAAATAAATAGATAAATCACAACCACTGCTGCCACATATACTGGTAGTTAAGTCATATGACCTATCATGAGCAAATCAGTTGAAGACATGAGGCTATCGTCAATTTCTTAGTATCGTTACTGAAAGAATAACATTATCCTCCCCTCATAAGGTCATGTTGACCCTGGAGAGGACGACTTTACCACTGCCTTGAGAGAGACACAGGAGGAAGCGGGTTTAGGTAAAGATCACCTGCGTATGGTCGATGGCTTCCTGCAGAGGTTGCACTATCGGGTCCGAGGAAAGGACAAAGAGGTCCTCTATTGGTTGGCTGAGCTGCGTGACCCAAACGCACAGGTCGTTCTCTCAGATGAACACCAGGATTACCGCTGGGCCAAACTAGAGGAAGCCTGCAAGCTGGCAAAATACCAGGACTTACAGGACACACTTACAGCAGCACAGCGGTATCTAGAGAAACAGGGCAAACAGTAACATTTACACTTGGTTTTGACATTTAGATACTGACAGAGTTGAATGCTTGCACTCATATTTATAAAATTGTTTTAGTTTAAACACTAAAACTGTTGTTAAAATCTAAAAAATGTAATAATTAAAATTGTACATAAACATACAATTGTATACAAAATAGCTTTTTTCTATTTTAAAAACGGAATAAAATATATTTAATTATATACTTATAAGATGTTTTAATTATCATATATCTAGCAAATAAATCAAACATCTCAAATTATGTACCAGTTTAATTTAGACTTAAGCATTTGTTTGTACTTGGCACATTTATCATTCTATTTTTTTTGTTTTTGTTTTTTTAGAAAAGTAGAGTAAAACCTGTTATATGATAAAAAAAATATATAATAGGCAGTTACACTTGCATGCATTTTTTACCAGGCTATGTATTTCCAGGTAATGGTATTGCGGGCATGTGGATTTGTCATTTTTCGGCGTTTGGTCCAGAAGCCTCCCCCTGATAATATAGAGTTCCTGCTGATGCAGACGTCCTACGGGGAACATCACTGGACACCACCCAAAGGTGCATCTCACAGCGTCTTATGATGCTTTTCCTGTCTTCAACTCATTTAAATCTCAATTTATTTTTGAACCACATTAGTCCTGCCAATTTAAAAGAATATAATGGCTTATTTTCAACATAATGCTTATTTCTACTCACAGAAAATTGAGTCGTAAAGCATTTATAAACTAAATTTAATAATAAATAAATAGATAAATCACAACCACTGCTGCCACATATACTGGTAGTTAAGTCATATGACCTATCATGAGCAAATCAGTTGAAGACATGAGGCTATCGTCAATTTCTTAGTATCGTTACTGAAAGAATAACATTATCCTCCCCTCATAAGGTCATGTTGACCCTGGAGAGGACGACTTTACCACTGCCTTGAGAGAGACACAGGAGGAAGCGGGTTTAGGTAAAGATCACCTGCGTATGGTCGATGGCTTCCTGCAGAGGTTGCACTATCGGGTCCGAGGAAAGGACAAAGAGGTCCTCTATTGGTTGGCTGAGCTGCGTGACCCAAACGCACAGGTCGTTCTCTCAGATGAACACCAGGATTACCGCTGGGCCAAACTAGAGGAAGCCTGCAAGCTGGCAAAATACCAGGACTTACAGGACACACTTACAGCAGCACAGCGGTATCTAGAGAAACAGGGCAAACAGTAACATTTACACTTGGTTTTGACATTTAGATACTGACAGAGTTGAATGCTTGCACTCATATTTATAAAATTGTTTTAGGATGTTGAATTAATGACGGTTTAAAGGAGGACCTGATGTGCTGTATGAAATTTGACTGTGGGAATAGACATTTGACTTCCATCCTTTTTGCGTCTCCTTGCTAAGTAGAATTTAATTTGAACTCATAAAAGGTTGCTTCCAAGTAGTTCAAAATGTTAAGACAAATGCACAACCTCTAAATCTCCACCAACAAGTAAAACAAAGCTGCCATTCATTTCAAAGAATGTTCCGGGTTCAATACGAGGTAAGCTGTAAGGACGCCATCTGTGGCATACTGTTAATTATCACGGAAAATCATTTTGAGAAGCCCCACAATAAATAAAAAATACACACTGACATAAATACTTGAAATTGATAGACTACAAGGCTTGTAAGTGGATTATGACACCATTAACATATACAACTCAATTTTTTTCTATACACACACATTATCCAATCTCTTTGTCGTTTTTCCACATATCGACAGTTTTTCAATGTTGCAATATAGCGTCCATCAAAAATAGTTTATAAATTGTATGCAAGTTGTTTTGCTATGAATCCTGTATAATCCAGATTGTACTAAATGATTAACTATAATAAAACCAGTAAATGAGAAACACGGTTTAAGAATCGATGATTGTTTTAGTATTACTTATATTCTATTATAGTTTTTATTAATATTTAGAACAAGCTTTTATTTTTATACTTTTCATTTTAATTTTAGTTAAAGCGCTATGTCATTTTATTCGTTTCTTTTTAAATATTTTCTAAATGGTTTTAATTTATTTTTATTTCAGTTAGTAATTTTACTTAAACTTCAGTTTAAAAATGTCAAAAATATTGTTTAAATTTGTCATCTAATGTTTACATTTTATTTTAGTTTTATTTCAATTAACAAAAATGTTTTTAGTAGTTTTAGTCAACGATAACAACGCCGTCATTAACTGAAAGCACCTCTAAATGTCTTGTCTAATGGTTTAATTGCATTAACTCCTGTACATACACACAAACAAAAATGAATTGTATTGTGATCATACAAGCACAGTCTTAAAATGATCATACTGGACACCCCCATCCCTCCCAAACTCAAATGCTTATGTTTAGAATAGAAATAGGTATCGATTTAGAGTCATTCTTACTGTTCTCCATTCTTCCTTATGTAAATATTTAGAATGATATTCCCTTTAACAACATTACAAGAGAAAGGAAATGCATCGAACTTAAAGCAAATAATGACTTTGGTTGTTTTGATCTGACTCAGGACCACAAATCCTGTCAAAAAATAGCATGTGAAAAACAAAAAATCATTAATGAAACATTAAAAACACACTCATGACACACAAATAATAAAATCCTTCAAGACAAATCCACTGTCGACTAATGTCACAACACTTTTTGAAATGAACTTGTTTGTTTTACTGTGCACAGGGGTGCAATACACCGAGAGTCTCTTGCTGAACGTGTAAAATCCAGTCCGTTTTAATCGATTTTAATCGTCCCTGTTGAGCCCTTTTGGCCCGTAGTCCAAAAGTTTAAGGGAGCGATTGAGCCGGGAACGATAGTTCTATATAGTTCAGTGAGTTCATGATGCTCGGGAGAGTACGAGAGCACCGTTTCCTCACGATCCTCACATCCACACTCCCTTCTGGAGAGGTTTTGTAGGACCAGGAATCAGCATCCGTGTCCTTGGCTGGTTTGTGGGAATAAAGGTGTACCTGAGACCCCATGTGCATAAACGTCTACGCTTCCACCCCCATTAATGAAACCTTAGGGATTCGCGTGCCTCATCGGATGATTGACACATCATATAAAACACATTAAAACACACATGCATGCTCTTGAAAGCTACGGCCCACGACGGCACCGTTGCCAACGCAAAAAAGCATAAGACCGGGGATGAGAGGGCTCACACTGATAAGCGAAATGTCCTCAGCAGTCACTGATCTCAAACCCCGTACTTAAAAAAAAATAAACTCCTAAGATTTCCGGTCAAAATCGGTGAGAAATGGAAACGGTTTGGTACAGCTGCTTGGACACTCATTCGTGATCACTTACCAAGAGTATGTGTACATTTAAAAGCATAACAGTATAATTACCTTCAGCCAAAATTGGTGGATGGAATATTAGGGGCTGAACGTGGGACATCATCATAGTGACTTAAACAGTCTCATCATAGTTTCAGGGTCAGCGAAATGAAGGTGTGCTGGAAGTAGTTTTAATGCTAGTGTTGCTGAGCACTTGAAAGCACCTTCATGTGCCATATAATCTGACACCGTGATTTAATGGCTCAAAAAGCTCAGGTGATTTGGGGGTATGAGCTGCGCATAAGAGGATGTAGTTGTGAAGGTGACCCTGCTGATGTGGATGGCTGGTCAAAATGACGAAATAAAAGAAACAAGTCTATTCATTCTCCATTTTCCCACCCTTAAATACTTCCCTTTCTAAGGAGGATCTTAAGTACATATAGTGGAATCGGTGAAGCCCTATACTGTAAAAACAGTTCTGAAGAAACTGTAACTGGGAAATGAACAAAACATTCATTTGTTGGTGATTTTAGCAGGAGTAACTAGCTCATGGGTGGGTTGAAGGGTTAGTTAGATCAAATTAAAGTTTTATTTATTTACTCACCCTCACATCATTGCAAATCTGTGTGGCTCTCTTGATTAAAACTGGCATACTGCATTCGGTTATGAAACACACAACAATCAGTGGCTTGGAGCATAAATGAGAGCTTTAGTGATATAAGGAAGAACTTAGATTTTGGCCTTTTCCTCTTCTGAAGACATTGTATATTGCAATTTGGACTGTTTTTTTTTTCGCAATTTGGACTTTTTTCTCTGAATTCTAAGTTTACATCTCACAGTCATTCTTTTGTTTCCGCCATATAATAAATGATAAAAAAGGCAACTGCAACTTCTTATCTCACAATTTTTTTTATTCTTGCAAATGACCCTTCGCAAAAACCCGCCCTCCTTAGTTACTGTTGCTATGTCTGACAAGCCATGCCGCTCTGACACTACACATCATGTTCTCACGCAGTGAAAAATACATCGCAGAGAAAAGAGGAAACTGACAACATGCCGACAGACAAGACAGAGCAGGTTATTTCTGGTATGAAAAAGGTCTCAGCTTTCAAAATGTGTCTTTTTTTTTTAAGAAATTCAAACAATAAATACTGTTTTGTGGCTCTTTAATGTGTCGTGACATTAAGCGGTTCTCTTTACTAGTTATAGCATGAAATAAACATGAATGAACATCAGAACGTATTTTATTTCAACCGTGGAAAAACGTCAATACACACAATTTTTCAAGTTTAAGTCCACCTAAGTTAATCTACTCTCCTGTCTGATTTGTTTGTCGGACAAGCTGGTGGATTCGGCGTTATGATTGGTCAGATCGCCTGTCAATCAAGCACTTTGCGAAGGGTCAATTACGAATTTAAATCTCACAACTCAGAATTTTCTTCTCAGAATTCCAAGTTTATATCTCCCAATTCTGACTTTTTTCTCTGATTTGCGAGTTTTTATCTCGAAATTGAGTCTTTTGTTCACATCCCGCAATTCTGACTTTTTTTGTCTATTTTTCTCCCTCTTCTGTACTGTTTTTGCCTACTAAATGGTAGGGGAAGTAGGTGAATTTGGACGCTGGCATTTTTGGTTATTACCTTTTGGAAAAATCAGCTCAAAAATCTCAAAACAGCTTGACAACGGCTGTGTTCCAGTTCACGTTTAGACATGCGCTCTCGAACTTCCCTAAGCACTTACCCTCGGGGGAACCCACGCTGCCATTTTGAAGTGCATTCCACTTCGTCAAGTGGACGAGGGTAGTTTACATGGACATACCCTCGACCCCTCGATTTTGACAGAGGGAGCGAGTCTGCTTCATATGCACACTTCAGGCCGCTCTATAGACCACAATGCAACACGACTATGACATCATCGCAAATCGCGTTTAATTTATCCCCACCCCAAACAACTCTATAATATATAAATTTTTTTTTTTTTTTACATTTATAACAGTCCAAGCATATCTATATACATATAGAATGCTGCACCAAACAAATTCGTAAGGGGAAACATGTAAACAATAAACCAACTCCATAGTGGATTCTAAGTGATCAAGGGCTTAGGACATTCCAATTCAGCCCATTCCAAGGGTTTCGCCACTCATGCAACGTAATCAATGACGTACATCCGAGTAACCGAGACGGAGGGAAGTTAGCAAGTGAAGAGCATAAAAAAAGTGAACTGGATTTCTGGTATGAAAAAGGTCTCAGCTTTCAAAATGTGTCTTTTTTTTTTAAGAAATTCAAACAATAAATACTGTTTTGTGGCTCTTTAATGTGTCGTGACATTAAGCGGTTCTCTTTACTAGTTATAGCATGAAATAAACATGAATGAACATCAGAACGTATTTTATTTCAACCGTGGAAAAACGTCAATACACACAATTTTTCAAGTTTAAGTCCACCTAAGTTAATCTACTCTCCTGTCTGATTTGTTTGTCGGACAAGCTGGTGGATTCGGCGTTATGATTGGTCAGATCGCCTGTCAATCAAGCACTTTGCGAAGGGTCAATTACGAATTTAAATCTCACAACTCAGAATTTTCTTCTCAGAATTCCAAGTTTATATCTCCCAATTCTGACTTTTTTCTCTGATTTGCGAGTTTTTATCTCGAAATTGAGTCTTTTGTTCACATCCCGCAATTCTGACTTTTTTTGTCTATTTTTCTCCCTCTTCTGTACTGTTTTTGCCTACTAAATGGTAGGGGAAGTAGGTGAATTTGGACGCTGGCATTTTTGGTTATTACCTTTTGGAAAAATCAGCTCAAAAATCTCAAAACAGCTTGACAACGGCTGTGTTCCAGTTCACGTTTAGACATGCGCTCTCGAACTTCCCTAAGCACTTACCCTCGGGGGAACCCACGCTGCCATTTTGAAGTGCATTCCACTTCGTCAAGTGGACGAGGGTAGTTTACATGGACATACCCTCGACCCCTCGATTTTGACAGAGGGAGCGAGTCTGCTTCATATGCACACTTCAGGCCGCTCTATAGACCACAATGCAACACGACTATGACATCATCGCAAATCGCGTTTAATTTATCCCCACCCCAAACAACTCTATAATATATAAATTTTTTTTTTTTTTTACATTTATAACAGTCCAAGCATATCTATATACATATAGAATGCTGCACCAAACAAATTCGTAAGGGGAAACATGTAAACAATAAACCAACTCCATAGTGGATTCTAAGTGATCAAGGGCTTAGGACATTCCAATTCAGCCCATTCCAAGGGTTTCGCCACTCATGCAACGTAATCAATGACGTACATCCGAGTAACCGAGACGGAGGGAAGTTAGCAAGTGAAGAGCATAAAAAAAGTGAACTGGAATGTAGCCAAAATTTCTCTAGCAACATGAGGGTGAGTAAATCACAACAGATTTGTATTTTCTGAGGGAACTAGCCTTCAAAAAAGGGTTGCAATTAACAAAACATTTTGAAATGTGCATGTTTAAGGTGGCCTGACAAGCTCTGATTATCCAAAAGCCCTGAGGTTAAGAGGCAGGAGAAGGTGGGATGTGAAACGTTACTAAAAATGACTGGTTTTGTGAACCCATACTGAACTTTACTTATGAACGGGGAGGTGCTGAAAAGGACAGAGATCTTAAGTAATGAGTTTTTTGGAACAGAGTGAAAAACGAAAGCTTTAAGCACAGGAAAAGAGAATTTGAAACATGAGGCTGTCAGGGTAAAGAATAGTGAGAGGGCAAAGGTCAGTGTCACGGAAACGGTGGAAGGAGGTCAAGATTCCTCATTGCCAGAGTCGTCTTCATCGCCAAAACAGTCCCCGGCCATTTCATTGCCAATCCCACTGGCCTCCGCCTCGTCTTCATCATCCTCCTCCTCCTCTATGTCATCGTCATATAGATCGTCATAGAGCAGGTCAGAGCTACTGTCGTGGGAAGGCACTTTGGTCTGGATGCAGTACTCAGCTAGCGTCGTTGGTACTTTAACTCCATCTCGCTCTGCATCTGCCTTAGTGGACATCACCTGCTTCCTGTGCACAATGCAAAGACAGAATAACTTTTGTAGCTTTAAGTATTCATCTATATTTAATTTAGAATGTATTGTTCGATAACTTGCTGAAGGGCACAGGTAAATATGACATTATAACAGGTTTATGTGAAGATTGTTTTAAGTTCACTTAAATTAGAAGCTATTTTAAGTAGTCTAATAAATGTTAAATATTTATAGCTTTGTAATATTGAATGGTTAATCAATGGTTAAATATTAGGGGAAAAACTATTTCATAGAGACATCAGAGTGATACTGGCCTTCAGTCATAAAAAATATGCCATTATACAAATATAAAAAAATATAACGTCTTTATGTTGTTTCTACATTAATTTGAAGATTGAATGTGAAATTATTGCAATGTAAAAGTATTTTTAAAAACTTTAATGTTAGGTGGAATTAATTGCGATTAATTTCAGAAAAAAATTTGCGATTAATTAATTTTTTTAACCGATTGACAGCACTAATATATATACATACTACCAGATTAAAAAAAAAAACTTTTAAAAAATACTTTTTTCAGCAAGGATGCATTAATTTGATCAAAAGTGACAGCGAAGGCATTTTTAATTTTACCAATATGTTCTTGGTGTTCCAAACAAGTCTTGAAAAAAATACATTTATTACTGTTTCCACAAAAATATTAAGCAGCACAAATGTTTTCTACATAATAATAAGAAATGTTTCGTATGCATCAAATATTAGAATGGTTTCTGAAGAAGCATGTGACACTAAAGACTGAAGTAATGGCTGCTGAAAAGTTATTTTAATATATTTCTCAATGTTAAATATTCATTAACACAATAATATTTCTAAATATTGATGTTTTTACTGTATTTTGCTCAAATAAACAAAGCCTTGGTGAGCATAAGATACTTTTTTTGGTTGGAAAAGAATGTCAATAAGGGAAAAGTTCAACATTTTTCACTAATGTTTACTTGCCCAAGGGAAATAAAGACACTCAGAGCAGTATGTCCTGAACTTCAGTGGGATGGTGCAATGGAAGTGTGTTGGGCTCAAATCTGGCCTTAGTCAATGTTTAACCTAGATCTCAGCCAACTTTAGGGGTATAATCCAATTTGGACTTTTCCTGAAGAATATAGAAGTTGTACACAATGCTTGGGTGTGCTGGGCGGTTGCCAGGGTGCTGCTGCTGTAACTAAGGTGTTCTGAGTGGTTGTTGAAACATTGCTATTAGGGCTGTGAATCTTTGGGTAGGCAGCGATTCGATTCACGATTCATAGGTTTTCTGCAAATTCAGAACGATTCAATTCAATTTGATTCGATTCACAATTAAATTAGATTGGATTCGATTCTGCATTATTTAAGTCCATTCACAGGATTATTTAAATGCTTCCCCTAAATTCTTTAAATGTTTAGTCAAGGGGCAAATTACGCAGCAGCCTTTATGGTTAGAGAACTATAGGTTAGAGAAAAAAAACTAAACACTTTTGTGCATTGTTAGATGCTAGTTTAATGATGCTATGGCATGACATGGCATATGTAGAAATTTATGTAAGCCAAGGTTTTAAAAAAGAGCTTTAAAACTATTATGTATAGGCTAACATGTTGTCACACCAGGGGCGTAGCTATCATTTCAGAAGTGACAGAAATGTCAAATACAATAATTTTATGTATGTAGCCTATGTATTATTATTATTATTTTTTTTTACAAAGAATTATTTTCTTATATCTTACTTTGAATTTGCTATAAGAAATCAAATACACTGCTGCAGAATAATCTTTTTTTTCTAATAATTTTTTTTCCTAATGGCAATTTTATGATTGTTTTATATACTACAAACAATTATTCAAATTTTCTGCACAAAATAAGGTAGAAAATATACTATTGTTTCTGTACTGTAATAAATATGTCCATTAGCACTGCATCATTCAAAATTTTTATTTATTTATTGTGTTAACGTTTCAGTTCATTCTGCTTTTTATTCGGCTTAGCTGCAGATATAGCCCGGCACGTCTTAAAGGGGTCATATGATGCGATTTCAAGTTTTCCTTTCTCTTTGGAGTGTTACAAGCTGATTGTGCATAGATAAGATCCCTGAAGTTGCAAAGACTAAAGTCTCAAAACCAAAGAGATATTTTTTATCAAAGTTAAGACTCTGCCACGCCCCCCTAAAACGGCTCGTTCTAACATGCCCCCATATATCTACCTCACTATGTGAAAATATTAGCATAATGCCGCCCAAATGTTCATGCAAACAAAGAAAGCGTGGTTTCAGTAACCGCAGTTAGTGTTGAAGCAGCCATGTCAGGGAGACGCTGTGTGTTTCTAGGTGAAAGCAAAAGCACTTTATTTGGCCTTTAAAAAAGCATCATATGACCCCTTTAAGTTCTATGAGTGCGAGATAACTTTTCTTTCAGTGCAAACACTTCTTTATTTCATTTTAATAAAATAAAATGCTATAGTAGTCTAATACTGTAGCACAAACAGTGCAGGACAGATTAGTTAGCTAGCATCATTAAAAATATATTAATCATTTATTATATGCATCTGTACTTTATATGTTGTGAGGTGAATCAAATACAAATATTGACAATTCTTGTTAATATTAAAAAGTCAAAGAGCAGGAGAAAAAGTTTCAGACAGACCCTTAAACTTAATGTAATCTGATATAAAAAGCAGAGTATGTGTTTTCATGGAAGTCATTTAAATGATGAAGTGGTCGTACCTTATAATCTCTGCGTATTCCTTGTCCTTGCCTTTGCTGTCCCTCCACTTGCGAAACATGACCGAGGCATCCACGTTTGCAGGAGAAAAGGTGTTGGGTTCATTCAGCAGTGAGATCACACTCAGCAGGATTGTTCTACAGACAAACACACACGTTACTCTGCCGTTCAATGGTTTGGGGTCTTTAAGATTTTTGAAATGTTTTGAAAGAATTCTCTTACGCTAAAAGGGCTGCAATATTTGATCAAAAATACAGTAAAATTGTGAAATATTATTTACAATTTAAAATAAGTGTTCTCTGTTTTATACATTTAAAAATGTAATTTATTCCTGTGATGCAAAGCTGAATTTTCTGCATCACTACTCTAGTCCTCAGTGTCACATGCTCCTTCAGAAATCACTCTAATATGCTGATCAACACTGAAAACATTTGTGCGGATTAATATTTTCGTGGAAACGTTTACAGAAAGTTTAAAAGAACAGCCTTTAGCCTATTTGAGTGAAATTCTGGGTATTTCCACCAGAATACCTGACATTCTGTGTGGGGTTCCATCGCTCTGAGGGCAGCTCTCCGCTCTGAGGGTCATCCACAGGAGGATGGAGGATGGAAATACACACGTCGCCATTCTAGGGTAGAGAAATGTACATTAAGCAACAATGGCAGCATTGTTATGATTACTAATGTAAGTTTTAAGCTGTTGTAATCCGTTTGGTGGCTCAGTAAACATGCATTAAACAGGCATACACAAGCATTTTCACCTCATAGATGTTTGGATGCCACATCTTGGTGAGGAATCGGAAGGTCGGAGGAGAGTAGGGGTAGTCAATAGGAAATTTTATATGGGCCTGGGGAAAGAGACAGAGTGAAACACTGAGCATTATTAGCTCGCATATGAGCCGTATTATAGCTGGTAAATGAACCGTTATAAATCAGTCCCAAAATGGAAAGGACACATTAGACTAAAAGTAAAACGTTTCATATAAACATAATCCTCATGAATCTCAACATCATGTACTCTTCATCAGGTTTCTGATGTGGTGCCAAAAGTGCGCTTGAGACAACAGTGCAATTCAACTAAACACTGCGGTGCTGTGTTAAATGCTGCACTCTCTTCCGTGCAGTGCTGATAGTACTATTTTGTGCTGAGTGTTGTGATTGTGGTTATTATAACAATAGTGATTCTGAAAGTGATTGTGGCTTTGAGTTTAGTTATAACAACTGCAATGATTGTGAGAGCAGTTATAGGTTATGTGGCTATGGCCATGAGTACAGTTTTAAAGGAATAGTTCAGCCGAAAATGAAAATTCTGTCATTAATTACTAACTCTCATGTTGTTACAATCCCATCTTTGAAAAAATCCGACTCAAAAGAATGATTTGTTCATTTAGAAGTTGTTCACACACCAAATAGAGCTATGGCAGATGTCACTATTTGTAGTGAATAACAGTGGTCATTTAAATGTCAGTCTTTTCCTTTCAAGGTTATGACTTGGAATATAGTGCATAAGTCATAAAAAGCAGTTTTATGATACTTTTTACGATGCTTTTGCATCTCTTTTGAAACTTGAAACCTCCAGAGAGAAACCTCTAGTCACATTCTTCCCTCCTTTTGTGTTCCGCATGATATAAAGATGTCCAACGGGTATGGAATGACATGAGAGTAAATAATGAGATAATTGTCATTTTTGCTTTAAACATGAGTGCAGTGCTACTCTAACCGTATCTTCTCTGCGAGTGGAAATCCTGCTACTCACCACTGCTGTTGACTGCTGATTATGTGTCTGACTACACGAACTGGCTAGTGCACAAGTCAGACCGCAGCGTGACTGTGACAGTGTGAATCAAGATATGAGTCTCAGTCAAAGCATTTAGTGTTAGGAAGCTAAAACCTGATCTAATCTAACTTCCTCCATTTGTGATCATTAGAAATGAACGGGAACAAATGACACAGCTCTCTGAAGCTCTAAAAACTGGAATTTTCACAGGATATATAAAAAATAAGAAAATACTAATTACTAAAATACAATATCTATATCCATGCAATTTCTTGCTGAAGCCTGATAGCTGCAAATTTTAAATACTTTGTCTGATGGGTGGAACCCAAGCCTGTATTTACAAAGATACCATAATCTTCCTCAAAACATGCCGTATTACATATATCAGCCAGACTATGCTGTTGGGATCTAGTTGCTCAGTTATATGTTTTAGAAGACAAAAAGTGATGTTATGCTTTATGAGGTACTATGAAGTTACTTGCTATTAATTCCATGAAGACTTAAAAGTGAAAAGTGTAATTTCTGAGTACTTAAAAATATTGAATGTTTTACTGTTTGCACCAAAATGTAATCCTTCTCCAAAACTCATGGGGGAATCAACTAATAAATTACTCTTATATTTAAGGAAAAGTTCACCCAAATTAGAATTTACTCGCCCTCAGAACATCCAAGATGTAGATTTAGAGGCAGCAATATTATGGAAAGAGGACTTGTTAGCCGGAGGCAATTGTTTGAAGTTAAAAAGGCCTTAATGATGGATTTTTTTTTTCTTACAAGCATGCAGCTTTTCACTTCACAATGAAGTGGAGTCATGTGGATTATTGTGTGTTTCTATCAGCTGTTTGAACTCTAATTCTGATGGCACCCATTCACTGCAGACGATCCATTGCTGAGCAAGTGATGGTAAATTTCTCTAAATCTGTTCCCATGAAGAAACAAACTCATCTACATATTGGAAAACCTGGGGGTGACTAAATTTTCAGCAAATTTAAATTTTTGGGTGAATTATTAAGCTGGGACAGAAGAATGAATTTTAACATAACAAAAATGGCATTTTTATATATGAATCAGCCATACTGAATTTAGCTACCTTAAATTCATAAATAAAAGCTTCACCAAAGACTGTGACCTGTGGCATATTATGATACAATAATATACCTATGAAGGAATGCTGAGGATTTTTTTTTGTGTGGTAAATTTGAGGACTGCGTCACTGAAAGTACTGACTATTGCATTTGATAATACGCCACTGAGAATACGTGACTACAGGGAATAAGGTTAAAACGCACTGTCCTTCTCTTTTTAGCTCTCATATCGAGATGTCATTAATATCTGTCCAGGCTAAAAATAGAGCTCTAGAGTATAAGGAACGCACCACCCGGGGAAAGAAGAACTTGAGAGTGCAAAACATGGGAGAACAAGTATGTGAGGTATACTTCAGAGTTAAATATTATCATTCAGACTTGAATTGCTTTGTCTGACTCACAACAACCTAGTCAATTGGTAAGCATTCAAGAACATCATTTAAATCCACACAAGGCTTACCTTAAAGTAGCCCCCTTCATAAAGTGTGTTTGGAGGGCCAAAGATGGCCACCTCCCAGTTGTAGAGGTCCGACTCCTCCACCAGAGTGATGCGGAAACCTTCCACTGGCTCCTCTTGCAGGGATTTCAGTTCCAGCATCAGAGCTTTCTGAGAGCTCGGCATCTGCTGGTGTGCCATGACAGTCCTGATCTTTCAGCCTTACTGTGGATTCAATGAAAACAAGTTTCGTTTTTTTCAGAGAATAATATATATATATAATTATTTTTTTTTAATATATATATATATATATACAGTATATATTTTGACAATCCCATTGTGACAACAATTTCTTTCTTTTTTTTGTTCTAAATATATAGCTGCTGTACTCATTATTAATACATATGAGTATTACATGTGGTATTACCACTAAAAAGCTAAAAAGTATTAAAAATATTATCTCTATCTATCTATACATACAGTGGGTACGGAAAGTATTCAGACCCCCTTAAATTTTTCACTCTTTGTTATATTGCAGCCATTTGCTACAATAATTTAAGTTAATTTTGTTTCCTCATTAATGTACACACAGCACCCCATATTGACAGAAAAACACAGAATTGTTGACATTTTTGCAGATTTATTAAAAAAGAAAAACTGAAATATCACATGGTCCTAAGTATTCAGACCCTTTGCTGTGACACTCATATATTTAACTCAGGTGCTGTCCATTTCTTCTGATCATCCTTGAGATGGTTCTACACCTTAATTTGAGTCCAGCTGTGTTTGATTATACTGATTGGACTTGATTAGAAAAGCCACACACCTGTCTATATAAGACATAATTGCAAAATGAAAGAAAAAACACATAAAAATGCAGTACAAATGTATAACTAGGTTTGTATGCAAAAGCTATACAACATTTTAATAAATAAAAACATGTTCATACACAAATTCATACCTGTGCTGCTCCCCAGGAAATGTAATGTTTGGGTGCCTTAAAGTTCCAGATTCATGTAAATATTAATACGTTTCTGATATTTATTTATTCCTTGGGGCCCAGAAGGGACTGTTAACCTTATTTTTCCTTTGTTATTTCTCGAATCCTGTTGCTTTTCCTGTTAGGCGTGAAGTTATCCAATCTTCAAGCAGATGTTAAGACAAATAAATCTATTTATCACCCTTCTAATCAATAAAAAAAATACATAAGCCGTTTGTTCTGTATCTGCTGCTGCCCGCAATGGAGGTGAAGGCGATGGGTTGGTTGGGAGTTGTCCTCGTGTACTGCCCTAACGTCTAAAAAAAAAACTCTACAGCATGCAAATAAGTCTCTAATTTCGCTTTATATGATGCAGAATATGTTTGTCAAACCCTGCGGGTCGCTGTCATTACGCCGTTTCGTTGCGCGTCTTCGGCCGCACAGCTGATCAGCTGCTTGTTTACATTTGTTCTGCTGCGAGGCTATAACGCACCGTTTGCGCAAAGAATTACACTGCCAGCTCTGCTTTATCCGTCCAGACCGACTCGACAGCGAATTAACGAAAAGGTATGGGTGTTATGGAAGTGGGGTATGGAGATTAATGGGAGCGCAGGAGAGCTATATGAACGCATTCGACAGGTGATGATTTCTTTCGCTGTTTCTCAATCGCTCTGTTGATGCTTCCGGTTATCACAGTGCGTGCCTGTAGACGTCTGTACGCCAGTGCGTCATGACGCAGGGCACTCGACTGTAAATACTTGTCACTCATGGAAATCTATACACAACGTGTGTGTTATTACATAGGTAGTACCTATTACATACAGACAATATTATATTACAATTATTTAAATATGCTTTTTATATGAAAATATTTTAGTAAGCAAATACGTAATTTATATTACACGTAATAAGAATATATCCTCAACAAAAAAGAAACTTGGGCAAAATAAAAAAAAGTAAATACTAATTAAAATTAAGATAATAAACAATAATAAAAAAGATTACAATTGAAAGCATAAATAAAATTATTTTCCCTAAGGACAAACCCTCCTATGTTGGCCTGTATATCCTTATATCCTTTAATGTCAAAATCAGCTGCTTTGCATAATGTTTTTGTCTATATATATTTACATTTACATTTAGTCATTTAGCAGACACTTTTATCCAAAGCGGCTTACAAATGAGGACAATGGAATCAATCAAAATCAACAAAAGAGCAATAATATGCAAGTGCTATGACAAGTCTCAGTTAGCCTAACGCAGTACACGTAGCAAGGATTTTTTCCCTAATTATATAGTAAAAAAAAACAAATAGAAAAAGAACAGAGAAAGCTAGAATTTTAGAGGCTTTTTTAAAAGAAAACCATTAGAAAAAAGTGCACGTCTTAAAGGAAGGAAAACAAAACAAATAGGCCTAGATAAAATAGAATTAGAACTTAATTATATACTTAGTACTTAGAAGTAGAACTTAGAATATATATATATATATATATATATATATATATAT